AACGCCTACATATGAGGTTGTGAGAGGGTCGAGACTGCCAGGTCAGAGAAGGGTCATGCGAAGGATGTACAACCCTCAGTTAAATAAGAGAGAGGAGTTGGAGATCAACCCGAAAGCAAGAATCCGAAGGGTCTGAAGTGCGGCCATTGTGGAGAGAAAGGCCATATCATCTCTCAGTGTCCTGAGATGGAGCGAAGGGTGAGCCTTACTCATGGGCGTGTGACTTTGACGCCGCGAGGACAGCACCAACCAGACTCTACTGTGGGCGATGAGGTTGCCCCGGGTGATTCAATTTCACAGGTTGGATTGACCCAGGAGTCACTACGTATCCACAACAAGAGGCTGAGAGGCCACGGTTGGTCCGAGGAGGCCCCAGCAGCCGCAGGTAGCCCTCCAAGAGCTCGTCAGAGGACTGGGATGGGTCCCCCTCAGACGCCACCGAAGAGGAGCGGCCAGTTTCCGGCCAGCAGCAATGCGGCAGTGGCGATGGGTCCAAAGCCGCCTCCACACCCGCCGAAGGGGTGGGTTCCGCAAGGGCCACAGCCACCACAGGCACCACCCATCTCTGGGAAGGCCCCTCTACCACCACCGCCAGCGCCCCCGGCGCCACCTCAGGTACCACCACCGCCGCCAGCTCCAAGAAGAGTTTCAAGTGCGCCAAAGACGCCACCCAAGACGCCTCCAAAGGCGAAGACTGGAGAGCCTACATCGCCTAAGGCGAGTCCAGGTGCAAAGGCAGCACCAACTGTGGATTTGGTTACTCCGAAGAGCCCTGAAGCGAAAGCAGCGTCGCTTGTGGGCGAGCCGCCCCATAGGCCATTCAGAGTTGGCCCAGGAGGAGCACTGGAAGCTGAGACAATTGCCCCCTCATCGGGGTACAGTATGTCTATGATTTCAAGGACCCCAGTTGCAAAGGCACCGGCCAGTGAGGCCCCGCCAGAGCCTTCTGAGACATCAGGGAGACCGCCCCAGCGTCGTATGGAAGCCTGCATAGCATGTCATGGCAGTGGAGAGCTTCCGATGCGAGCGAATCGGAGGTTGTTCAGGTTGTTGACATCGTCAACAGCGTCAGCAGCAACTGCAAATGCAGCTGCTCGAGGTGGAGCAACGGCCAGTGTTTTGTCTGCAATTTCAGGTTCAAGTTCTTCAGAAGCTGATGTGACCCATTTCAAGAGTGAAAGGGGGGTAGGTCTTTTTGTTGAGCTAGCCTGCAGCAAAGCCAGTGTCTTGTCAGCTGCATGCGCTGAGAGCCGTGCTTGTTATGTTGGAGTTCATGGAAATCTTGAGAAGATAGCTACACAGAATCATGTTGCAGATCTTGTGAAACAGGTGATGGAGGAGTTGAAGATGACCAGATCAGCCTCTGATCGAGAGCTGGGAGAGGTGCATTTGTTCTGTCACGTTCACATGTCATTACCGTGCACAGGTGGATCTCCATTGCAGAATTTTTCGGGTGGGAAAAGAGTCCCAGAGCATGAGCGAAAGTTTTTCGAACTTCTAGCCGCTTGTGAAAAGTTGCTGGATCGGTTAGTAGAAAGACATCCCGAGTTGTCTATGTCTTTTGAATTGCCAAATTCCAACAGGTATTGGACTCATCCGAAGCTGCAAGCCTTTGTTCAGGCCAGAATTCCATTCAGGTCTGTTGTCCATGCTTGTGCAATGGGAATTGAAGGACTGCCAGGATTACCCATCAAGAAAGCGTTCAGGATCATGCCAAGTTCTGAGGAGCTTAGTCAACGTCTTGAGAAGCGTTTTCATTGTGCTTGTGATTTCCACGCATCATTCAATTTTTCTGACTTTCAGTTGTCAGAGAAATACTCCAGGAAATTTGCCAGATTCTTTGTGCGAATGCTCGCATTACTTGCCCTCAGGTGATCGATGGCGTCGAAGCTACGCTGATTTTATCGCCTGATCTTCCCTGAGGAAAAAGGAAGAGTCTGCTGCATGAGTGAACTTGTGAGATTTTTTTGGATAGCTTGAACGACTTGTGAAGTCATCTTGAAGTTTTGATAGACTTGTGAAGTCATCTGGATAGAGAAAGGTCTTTAAATGTCTAAGACATGAGGCTGAAAACTCTCTTTGATCGTTGCCCTGTGCGTTGCTTGGGTAGTCGGATCTAATTATCGAGACTTTGAGGTCTGACGATTGCATGGTATAGTTCTGAATCCAATTTGAATTGCAAGAGTTGCAGAAGTCTTTAGAAGACATCGAGAGGATGATCTTTGGACTTTCTAGGTCGCAGAAGTCTTTAGAAGACATCGAGAGGATGATCTTTGGACTTTCGGAGATACAGAAGTCTTTAGAAGGCATCTAGAGGATGATCTTTGGACTTTCTGGGATCGTTTTTGGACTTTCCTTTATGGACTGTCTTTGGAATGTTTGTGGACTGCTTGGAATGGATTTCAGCATGAGCTTGATTGGATTTCCGCAGCCATTTGTGTGTGTGGGCAGGTCGCGCAAGCCATGGCCACTGGAGAGATGGAAGAGCTCTACTGGCTCTTATTCTTTGTGTATACACTGGGTTTTCTATCTGGTGTTCTTTCAGCTTGCTGCATTACGAAATGTTGCAAAAGCCGCAATACAACTGCAAGAAATTCAGGTACAGCTATGAAGAGTTCTACAGCTTGGTCAGGTGATTCTGACGGTGAAGGCCCAAGTACTCGTATCTATTGGAGTTTTTGCCGAGAGATGTATCACTGCAGTGAGAAGTGCAAGGTTTTGATTGCCGCCGCTGGTCCAAATGGACATACTCGATGCCGAGACAATTGCCAGGTTTGCCAACCGGAGACTGGACCCTTGTTGGTTGTGACTTCAACAGGATCGAAGTATCACTGTTCAGGTTGCCGTACAACGGAGAAGTCAAAGCAGATGACGCTGTTAGCATGCCCTATCTGCTATGGCATGGGGAATGTCAAGGCCGAGTGACTGAACTCGTTTTTTGGACTTGAGTCGCACAAGTTCGAAAGGGGTTGTGAAAAATCATCCTATGTATAGCTAGCGTAGCGATCTTGTGCTTGTACCTAGGTAGTTGTTAGTTGCTTTGTAGTTGTAGTTTGTGGACTTGCGTAGTTTGGACTTTGTTTTGTAGTTAGCAGGTGATTGTGATGTAGTTAATCGATCTCATCTCATTCCGTCACAAAGAGTTGTGACGGAGTTGCCATTTTTCGTTGGTAGTTAGCCGTTTTTAGGTTTTTTGCACGTTGTAGGTTATTCCACACGAGAACCAAACTGCACGAAACCAATCTTAGGTTTTTGTCACGTAGAAGTTTGTTTTTTGCACGTGTCTAGATTTGTAGAATCGTTTCTGGAACTGCTATGACCCAACGTAAACGTTGGCTCAAGACCCGCGAGTTCGAAAAGGGTGAGTGTGTCGCCGTGAGACGGCCTGGGAAAGTTGACACAGACAGAAACGCGAAACGACCACCGTTTGTTTGTGTTTTGGTTTGGGTTTACTTTGTGCACGAGAGGTTTGAAAGCGGTTTTCGCGATCTAACTTTGTGTGTCAAAGTTTTACGGGAGAAAAAAACTGTGGCAATCTGAACAAAATGCAGGGCAAAACGGAAGCGAGGCTTACGGGGACTCGGAACTATACAATACTGTTATTGAAGTCCCAGCAAGGTTGAACTTGAAGTAGTTGGCAACTGTGCTGCCTTGCTAGAATTTTAGGCCGCAGCTGGCGCAAAGGGACGGCCTCAAGGCAAGTCTCGAAGCGTCAAGTTGATGGAAATTGCAGCAAAACAAGAAGTTCATAAGATGAAACAAAGTTGAAGGCAGGCCTCAATGCAAGTCTCGAACTCCAGTGCCGCGAGACCATGGAAATTAGAACAAAACACCTCAGGGCAAGTTTCGAGGCAGGCTTCGAGGCAGGCCTCGAGGGCCTCAAGCCCATGGAAATTGAAGCAAAACAATATGACAAAGAAGGGGTCCTTTTTTGGTCCTCAAAACGTAAGAAAAAGCAGGCGCGCAAAAATGGGCCTCCCCAGCAATCTCGGATGTTCTTTTCCAAGCATCTGCCATCGAATCAAAAAAGAAAGGTTGTAGTCCTCATTAAAAAGACGGAGGAGAGATGCTTATTGCCATTGTACTTGACAGGCCGATTGCAGAAGCCAAAGCTTCAGTAAATAACTCCGAGGCATTTGTTGGAGAAATCACAAAGATCATGCAAAACGAACACGCTCATCCAGTCATTGCGCAAATGATCCATCCTGATGTACGAGACGACCTACGGAGTGCGCAACCGGCTCATCAGGAAGCTGTCGCAGCCAGATGGAAGCGATGCAATACCCGGCGCGTGCTCAAACTAATTTCCAGGGCCACATGCCAACGTGGGATACCCACGGCTGGCTGCCATACTGACTTTACCCATCATTATTTACACTAGCCAATCCTGCACCAACATAGGATACCCATGGCTGGTTGCAATCGTTTCCGATGCCCCGGTTTCCAATAGGAAACTAAGAGGAGAGGTAAACTATAGGCTAGGGGTTGAATGATGGAAAGGGAGGGGTTAATTGGGGTTGATTTGTTTGAACTAACTAGCAACTCTCATTGGTAGCTAGGATAGATGATGTCAAAGTACATCCTAGCCATGGCGTCCTGAAGCTCCTCATTCTGAACCTACGATTGGAATAGGACGATACCGCCCTCAAGACCGGGACAATGCAGCCTCTTTTACACACTCAGGAAACCCCCTGTCCTAGCCCGCAATGGCAGACGATGCCGTTAGGGAAATTCAAAACGTTCACCTCCCGTCGAGTTCGATGTCCGCCGACAGATGTGATGCGTCCATATTCGCGTCCTCTAGGAGGGCGATTTGTAAGGCCTGGCACACCAAGTGGACTTGCGATTTTTTGTCTTCCAGAATGCTGGGGGGAGATACATGACGTATCTGAATTTCAATGTTATTTTGGAACCAGTTTTTGGGAGCCAGCGAGTGCATTGTTTTAGGATTCTTTAAGCATATTCTGTGTCCAAGCGGCGCTATCCATCATTGATCGGTGATGGCCTGTGATTGCAAGTGTGGGCAGGTGCTGCAGGCTGAGCTTGCCGAGCTCAAGCAGCGACGACAAGAGCTGCGCGAGGTAGCTTCGTGTTTGGGTTGAATGGGTGTTTGGTGCTTCCAGTCTGCAACCTTTCCCTGCTTGGCGTGTGTCAGGCCTTCAAAGCTAACAAAGCACACATGAAGGCCGCGCAGAAGCGAAAGGCCAAGTTGGTCAAGGCGCAGTCTGGTTTTGTTCTTGCCTGTTGAAGGCACCATGTATTTGCTTTCTGAGATATAGCCAAAAATATTGACCATATATTGAGATGTTGATAAGATATCCCCAGCACTCTACTAGGGAGGCCCTTTTGAGCGAAGCCGGTTTTGAGAAGGTTTTCCGGACCCAGAATTGGGTCCGTCGGAGCAAGCTGTTTTGTAGATGGTTTTGTTTCTTGTTGGGGCAAGCGGGGTGCATATCGGTTGCTGCTTGAACCCACTTGAAGTTAGCTTCTTATTATTTCGTTGCGTCTGGTGGCTTGATTGTTTGCCGCTAAAAGAAGGCTCATCAGCCGTTTGCAGCCCTTAGGTGATTGCTTGAGGTGTTTCTTGGCGTTGCGGAGTTTGTGGGTTTTCGCGCAGGTGGCCGGCTTCCATTTAAATGATTGTATTGAATACTCTACTGCCCCTTGTTGGCCCCCCTTGCCCCTCTGGACTCCTACCGAAGTTTTCAGCCCAGAAAGAACATGAATCATGATCTTTTCAGTCAATCCCGTTATTAATTAATAGTATTAATTTAAAACGGGATGGAGTAGGAATCTGCTTAGGAAAAGATGTGGGAAAGTGAAGTATTGAAGGCTTTCTTATTCCGCCATCGCTTCGATATCGTGTCAATTAAATTGGGCACTTGAAATAAAACATAGCACGGAGTAGCGGAGTAGCGCGGAGTAGCGAAGGATTGGTGAATGTTGCCTGGGTGGTGCTGCATCGCAAATCGCCACATTGGAGCTAGGGAACGGAGACAGCTGATACCACATGTGCGCTTTCAGGTTCCATTTCTGGGGCCGGAAGTCAATTGAAATCAGGCTTCGCATGTGCGGGCCTCCTCTGTTCCAAATCTATATGCTGGTTGCTTAAATAAATGCAGTTGCAATTTTTTGTTTGTTGCAAGGGTCGGCCTTTGCTGTGGATTTTGCGATTTTGCGGTCTCATTTTTGGTACCGCCTGACGGTCCCAAAAAAGGGACCGTGAAAGTGCTTTTCTTTTGTTGCGTCTCACTTTAGTGATGAGCCCTTATAAAACCTGGTCTACAGGTGGGGTGCCACCGTCCTCTCTTCCTCCACGCGTGCGCCTCGCGTCCCCGCGTTTCGCGTTTGGAAGTTCAAGGTATTGACCTCTTAACTTCTAAGCTTGTGTAAGTTGCTGTTTCAAACAAACTGTCAAAACAAACTTCAGTGTTTTGGTCCTTTTGTGGACCTCTGTTTTGTTTGAACAGTTTTCACATCCGTCTTTTTAAGTTTCAAGGGTGGGTGGGTGGGACAAAGTCTCACTTCCCGGAGGCTGAATGGGGGTAGTGAGACTTTTGGGACTTTTGAGTCCTGTCTTTTCTGCCATGGACCTAGTGATACATGCAGCTGCTTTCGGACTAGGTGTGAAACGTGCAGACATCAAGATGCCGTGGGAGCGTGAGCCGTTGAACCCGGTGTTTGCAAAGAAACCTCGTCTGATTCAGCCGCCAGTTTTTGTCCCGGCTGTTCCTCCTGAAGATGCAGAGATATCGATCCCTGTTGCCGAAGCTCAAGGTGTCTTGAGGTGGTCAAAGACTACATCGCTGATTCCTTGGCCTATTGCGCAAGACAGAGCATTGGCAAGAGCACTGGAGTCATGGAGAATTATAGTCATGGACAATTTGTCAGGGTCCGCCGTTGGAAGGCAGATCGAAGAAGCTCTTCGAGGAGACTTTGATGCAAAGACCATCGAGCGTTCAGTAAGTGACGCTTTGAACAACAAATCAGTGGCAACACTTCGTGCCAGAGCCTCATCGATTCTTTCTTTTGCCAGGTGGAAGAAAGGGTTGGTTCCAGATGCCCGGATTTTTCCAATTACGGAACATGAGGCGTACATGTATGTCACTGAATTGAGGGAGCACAATGCACCAAGAACGAGGGCCACGAGGTTTTTGGAAGCGGTGTCATTTGCATTTCACATGCTTGGAGCCGATGTTGGTGATGCTATCAAGTCACCGAGGGTGAGAGGTGCCTCAACCGTACCGCTGGTGATTCCTAAGAAGAAGATCCCCTTGACCGTTTCCCAAGTCTGCTTTTTGGAACAATTAGCAATGGATGGGTCTGGACAGGAGTCAATTTTTGCTGGGTACCTTTGCATGGTCTTGCACATGCGACTACGGTGGTCTGATGGACAGTATTGCCAGCATGAACCTGTAACTGACCTCCACAATGGGAAAGGATTTTTGGAATGCCAGCTGTATCACCACAAGAATGCTGGCCGCCAAAAGCATGCGAAACGTTTGCTGCCCGCTGCTTGCAATTTGCCAGGCCTTTCAGGTTTTGATTGGGCGTCCTCTTGGTTGCAGCTACGTGGCGAGCAAAGCCTGACAGCAGGGCCTGGGGTTCCAACCATGCCGGCCCCGCTGGCAGCTGGTGGATGGGCCTTGGTCCCCTTGGAGCCTAGTCAGGCTACAACATGGCTGCGAGAGGTCCTCAACAACTTTGAGCCGGTGCCATCATTGACAGACATCGGCACCCACTCTTTGAAGGCGACATGGCTTAGCATGATGGCGAAAGCAGGGTGTGAAGGTGACTTGAGGCGGTTAGCTGGATACCACACAGATCCTGGGTCAAAGATGGCACTGGAGTACAGTCGTGATGCTCAAGCCCCTGTGTTGTTGGCCATTGAAGCCATCACCGCGGCGATTCACCATGGGTTGTTCAACCCCGATGTGTCCAGAGCTAAGCGTTGGCCTCGTGAGGGTTGCAACTCACTTCAGTCAGTCATGCTGTGGCTTGCACGTTCAAATGCTGAAGATTTTTGGTATCAGAATGAGAATGGCACATGTGACAGCGAGCAGTGTGAACCTGAGAGCTTAGAGGGTTTTGAGATCCTGCGTCAACCGTCTGAACCTTACTCACCTTCAGTTGCATCAAATGAACGTTTGGAAGCGGAATCAATGTCGTCTGTTAGTGACGTCAGTAACAGACCTGAGATTGGCAGGGAGTATGCAACATCGGATGAGGAACGTGATGCAGAGGTCGCAGCTCCCATCGTAGGTGAGGGTTTGGCACAGTCCTTAGAGCACTCTATTAGCGCTGTAGTCTTCAGACATGTGCAAAGTGGCTGTTGTCATGTAGCAAAAAATTCAGCATGTGACCCGGATGATGGTGAACCCATTGTCTTAAAGTGCGGAAAGATCGCTACCCGAAATTTTGAACAGATTCAAGCAGCAGGCAACTTCTTTCCTTACAAATGCACTAGGTGTTTTGCTGGGAGCTGAGAAGTGACATTTGATTGTCTGTCATGTCATGTGTTGTGCACGATGTCTTGTGATGACGTGTGTTTTGAAACCTGGTGCATTAACGGGCAATGAAACCCATTGGCATTGGCGCAGAAGTTGCACCACAGCCTCGAACTCAGTCGATGTCGCTTGGGTCGTTTTTCTTTAGTGAAATTGAGTTTGCCTTTTTTTTGCATTCACTCAAGTTCAAACATTGTGCACTGACAAAGTTTCATACCACCATGTCTTTGTGAAGCGGCATGGATTGAGCGGACAACAGACTCTGGAGTCTGTGCGTTTCACAGAAGTCGTGGACTCAGCACAGCAGTAGTCCTGAACCTTGCTGAATCTTTGTCTTGCTGAGTGTGGTTGTTTTTTTGTGAGATTCAGTTGTTCAAACCATTTAACATGTCACAACTTGAGCAGACAAATCAGCATGAATGCACGTCCATGACATGTCGTTTGCGTCCTGTCACCTGGGCAGAAGGGATACAGATCCAAAGCTGCAAACCTCAGCGGCAGAGGTCCGTCCTGGCCTGCAGTCAAATCGAGTGCATTCAGTTTGTGATGAAATTGTTTGCAACGGTTTGTGACATGTTTCTTTTTCGGGTGTATTTGTTTTTCAGCTTGTTTCAATTGAACCTTTGGATGTCCAGCAAAGCAGTGCCAACCTTCTGAACCCACTGGTGAGCCCAGAGGGATGACCGGTTTGGTGAGACACTCCTGAAACGTCACAAGAGGGCAAAAGGTTTAGAGTTTTGGGCATGGGAGCACATTGACAAGGAGAAGGAAATGCAAAAATTTCAGTCAGTAGGATTTCCTGTCATGACGAGTCACCAAAGTGCAAGCCATGGCCAGTGGGCCGTGATTGTGATTCGATTCTATTTTGTTTGTGCTACGTTGGCTCCAGATGACAGAAAGCTGTCAGAGAGCAAAACTGTTCATGCATTGACAATGCGTCTTGTCATGTGTTTGTGTGACAGTCTTGCAACCCATGGAAATGCGTGCTGGCAAACGTTTACATTTGGCAAGTCAGTTCCGTTAGTACTTCCAAAAGAAAAAGAAAACGCAGCTGCGTGGATAGAACATGAATTTTTTCTGCCTTAAAACTCACCCGACAGGGCACCGTGGAAGCCATGTCCCTTGTTGATAGTGCAGCAGTCTTTGAAGCGAGGGCAAGAGCAATCGGCATTGATGAGCAGGTTATCACACAGATGGGCTTGCGTGGCTGGGTGTCGCATGCAACTTATGCATTCTCAGTTGTAACAACACCTGGTGGAGATGAACAGATTTTTGCTGACGGTGTCATCACGCCGTTGCTTGGAAATGCTGATCACAGAGACGCTCCAAAGTTACGCAGGTTGTTCTTCGAAGCCCACACCCTGACAGCGGCTGAGATGAAGCGGAAGGTGGATTCGACGGAGCAGGAGGCGCCGAGGAAACTTCCTGCGCCTGAAATAGCCCAACGCATAGAGATGATCCAGGCCAGAATCCATCCACTGATCGTGGCCAACTTTTTGGAACCATCGCATCACCTGATCAACTCGTTGGTGCAGTGCGTGGAGGACGGCAGAGTACGATACATCGAATGGTCAAGGTGCACTTCAAGAACCCAAGAAGTCAACAACGTCAAGGAAGACAACGACCTGAAGGTTTGGAAAGCTGATAGCTCAGGAGCAATCAGGGCCACCAACAAAGAGCCTATGTTGGCCGCAGTTCTGAACACGGAACTGGATGTGCACCACGCCTTGAGACGACGTGGGGTGGCATATGAGGTCGCCCAAGCTATGACCTTTGAGGTGCACGAGTCCATCATCAACGACTTTTTCTTTGAGCTGAAGAAGGAACCAATGGAAGGTTTCTCACACGTGACCTTGCAGCAGGTTGCAGCGGCTGACAGGGAACTTCATGTCAGATTGGCTGAGGCCACACGTGCGGGCTTCCGCAACGGCCCAGCGGGAGAGTTGCCGCTGGACTTGCCAGTCAAGGCCATATTGGAAGGGCCAGAGCTGAAGTGGCTCTTGATGCCGATGCCGAAAAGGATGGGAGGCAAAGCACCACATGTGGATGCATCACCTGGCAAAACTTCACATGATACCGAACCCAAAAAGACCAAGGTGGAGCCAAACAAGAACAAGCAAGAGGCTCTCCGGATCAAGAAGTTGAAACGGACGCCTATGCCGAAGAAGCTGGTCGGTTGTGTCCCTTGCAACGAGGACGGCCAGCCAATTTGTTTTGGGTTCAACCTGGGCACTTGCTCACACTCAGGTGATTGTCCGAAGGGACTCCATACATGTTGCAAGAAGGGGTGCAACAAGCGCCATGCCTTTGTCACAGCCCATAAATCTGGCTCGTGACTAGCTGCACAGGGTGCCTTGAAAGCAGTTGGCAAAAGAGGTGATGAAGGTCACCTGGTGGCAGGTTCACGAAAGCGTGAGTCAGCCGCCCCCTTGGAAGGCAGTGGATGCCTTGATCAGCAGTTGGTTGCAAAGCGAATGCGCTCTGCAGCGGACACCACCGAGGAAAAAGAGCCTCAACATTTTTGTGACATCGCTGAAGAACAGTCGAGTCATTTTGAACCTGCTGCCCATCAAGAAGTTGATGGTCGGGCAGGAGCGAATGCAACAACGCATTCTAAGCAACTTTTCCTTTTGGATTTATTTTGTGGTACAGCTGGCGTGGCTGCAGCGTTTCGAGCAATGGGTGGAGAGTCCATGGGAATCGACCACATAATAGACAAGAGAAGGGTCAAAGGACCTGTGGCGAAAGTAGATTTGTCAAAGCAGGACGGCCAAGCTACAGTCTTGCAATGGATAGAATCAGACAAAGTGGACGCCGTGATGTTGGCTCCACCGTGTGGAACGGCGTCAAGGGCTCGTGAGATCCCGGTGCCTAAACGGCACAGACTTAGGAAAGGCATGCAACCAGTTCCGCTCAGATCCGAAGCGGAGCCAATGGGTTTGTCCAGCTTGCGCGGAGTTGCGAAAATCAAAGTTCTTGCTGCCAATAAGTTGTATGCATTTGCAAGAAAGGTCATGGACCTTTGTGAGAGAAAAGGTATTCCGTTTATTTGTGAAAACCCTCGTAGGTCGCTCATGTGGATGACTGACCCTTTTCTCCACTTGCCTGACACGTTTCATTTTCAGCATGTTCACTCTTGCATGTATGGTGGGAAGAGAAAGAAGCGTACGTCATTTTTGATGAACTTCTATGCTGCAAACTTGCTTTTGGAATGTGATGAAAGCCACCCACATTTACCTTGGGGAATGGTGGCACAGACGGCTGGATCTGAGATGAAATTTTCAACAAGCCTGGAGACAGAATATCCTAGCGGTTTGTGTCGCCAGTTAGCCATTGCGTTTTTAGAGCAACTGCAGAAAACTGGCAAGAATATTTCACCCTCCACTGGTCAGATCGAACAAGAACAGCGCATGGGCGCAGGTTTGCAACCCAGAGGAGCCAGAGCTCCCTTGCTAGTCGGTGATTTCAAGTTCAAAATCGACATCAAAACGACTGATGTCGCAATTCCAGCGTCCATCGAGGACAACGTGCACATTCCCTTCCAGGGCATCCCCTTGCATTCAAAATTGATTTCTTCTCGAATGGTGACTGAAGAGGGGGAGAATGGCGAGAAGAAGGTTTTTTCCCTGTCGTCATATGGTGTTTTTCGTTTTTCGTTCCCCCTGGGAGTTTTTGGACAAGGCCCTAACGTTAGAACACCCTTTGGACAGCCCTCATACAGTGGACAAGAGCAACCTGAAGGCTATGGTGTTCATTAGGGACCACACTAAGGCTGAGGTGTTGAAGTTCAGAGCCCAACAGCTGAGAAAGTATACAGAAAGAGCGGCCCAGCTTTCCAGTGAGGAAAGCCAACTCAGAAACTCGCTGGATCCCGATGTCAGACGCGTGCTGGAGGGAAAGCGCTTGCTGTTATTCAAAGAGATGGCTGCCGATGCCAAGGTTGGTGATGAGCATCTTTTTACTGAGTTAACTCAAGGTTTCAAGTTGACAGGTGTGATGCCGGAGTCCAAGCAGTTCCCTGCGCGCCTCAAGCCCGCCATGATATCAGTGCAGCAGCTCAAGGAATCCTCAGTGTGGGCAAAGAAGATGATCCATGCGTCATGCAGACGAGTTGGTGCAGACCCTGAAATAGCCCGGGCTGTCTATGAGGAAACCATTCAACAGCGGAAGGATGGCTGGGTTAAAGGGCCTTACACCGCTTCAGAGTTGGACCAAAAGTTTGATGGGTGTTGGATTCCGTCGAAAAGGTTCGGCGTGAGACAAGGTGGAAAGATACGGGCGGTTGATGACTTTTCAGAATTTCTGGTTAACGCCTCTGTAACGGCGACTGAAAAACTGCAGTTGTTTGGACTCGACGAAGTGGTCAACACAGCACGGACTTTCCTTGGTTGCGATTTTTTGATGATGGATGCTGAGCTTGATAACTTGTGGTGCTCCGAGGCGGCCAAATCCTTCGCAGGGCCTTGGCGAAAGATCTTTGGAAGAGCATTAGATCTTAAAAGCGCTTACAAGCAACTTGCCCGTCATCCAGCCGACAGCTGGGCAGCCATCCTTGCAGTTTGGAATGATGATGCTGGCACAGTCGAATTCTACGAATCAGTCGCCTTGCCGTTTGGGTCTGTATGCGCCGTAATGGCGTTTAACCGGATGGCAAAGGCACTAAGGCTGATCCTTTCAGAGCTCTTCATGGTGATCAATACCAATTTTTTCGACGATTTTTGTCAGCTTGAGTGCGAAGGTCTATGCGATTCAGCTTGGGAGACCGCAGAGTTTGTGATGAAGCTTTTGGGTTGGCGCATCTCCATGTCTGAAGATAAGCGCTCGCCCTTTTCTGGTGAATTTAACCTTCTTGGCGCTGTGGTTGACCTGACACAGTCTACAACTGGGCTTGTGGCTGTTCGCAACAAACAGTCTCGACTTGATGACTTGCAGAACCTGGTTCAAAGCATTTGCCAAAGCGAGACCGTCACACTCTCGCTGCTGGAAACCTTGAAAGGCAGACTGCTTTATGCGGCGGGTCATACATTTGGGAGGTGCTCACAGCTTGCAATACAGCTCATCTCTCGAGTTGCCAGGAGAGGGCCACTGGTGGTACTCGATGAGAAACTCAAGGAGGTCATCAATAGGGCATTACTTTGTTTGATGGACGCAAAACCACGACATGTTTCAGCCTGGTCGGGGAGGCCCCCGCTGATCCTGTTTACAGACGGAGCTTGTGAGGAGGATGGCCTATGTGTGACTCATGGGGCTGTGTGTTACGACCCCGAGTCCAACCAAGCCTTGATGTTTGGTGACCATGTACCAGCTTGTTGGACAGCGAAGTGGCGCACAGAAGGAAAGAAGCAATTGATCTGTCAGGCAGAACTGTTCCCAGTCCTTGTCGCAAAGAAAACCTGGAGTCATTTGATATCAGGACGTGCTGTCCTCTGGTTCATTGACAATAATTCCTCTCTTGCTGCAGTCATTCGCTCTTATTCACCTGTGCTCGAAAACTACGAACTCTTAGTCATCAACGCAAAGTTGGACGTTGATCTACAGGCAATGCACTGGTACACCCGAGTGCCTTCGAAGTCGAATTTGAGCGATGACCCATCTCGTTTGCAATTCTCTGAACTTGAAGCAAAGGGCTTCAAACGCTGCTCACCACGCTACGATCTCACGAAATAATGAAGAGGGGTGGAAAGGCGTGAGATGCGAAGGCGTCTTCCGCAATCACGAAAGCGTGCCGACTCCCCAATTTATTGAAAGAATAAAAAGGTGAGAATTAATTAAACCGTGAGTGAGCTGTCGTCTTCCACTTCAGTGATGTGCATTTTCTTTTGATGTGCATTTATTTTAATATATATATATATGTATGTGGTACTGGAGTGTACTGTGCATATATATATATATATATGTGTTTCTGTCTAAGTTTTTAGTAAAGCGGAATGCGCAAGAGCGACGCGTAGGTGAGAGGTAGACCAAGGGTTGATAAGTTGCGTCTCACTTTAGTGATGAGCCCTTATAAAACCTGGTCTACAGGTGGGGTGCCACCGTCCTCTCTTCCTCCACGCGTGCGCCTCGCGTCCCCGCGTTTCGCGTTTGGAAGTTCAAGGTATTGACCTCTTAACTTCTAAGCTTGTGTAAGTTGCTGTTTCAAACAAACTGTCAAAACAAACTTCAGTGTTTTGGTCCTTTTGTGGACCTCTGTTTTGTTTGAACAGTTTTCACATCCGTCTTTTTAAGTTTCAAGGGTGGGTGGGTGGGACAAAGTCTCACTTCCCGGAGGCTGACCCGCCCTCCCAAAACCCCCCTCCGGGCGTGAGATGCGAAGGCGTCTTCCGCAATCACGAAAGCGTGCCGACTCCCCAATTTATTGAAAGAATAAAAAGGTGAGAATTAATTAAACCGTGAGTGAGCTGTCGTCTTCCACTTCAGTGATGTGCATTTTCTTTTGATGTGCATTTATTTTAATATATATATATATGTATGTGGTACTGGAGCGTACTGTGCATATATATATATGTGTTTCTGTCTAAGTTTTTAGTAAAGCGGAATGCGCAAGAGCGACGCGTAGGTGAGAGGTAGACCAAGGGTTGATAAGTTCTTTTACTAAGCTGTGCATGCGGTCCCAAAAATGGGACCGCCAGGCGGTCCCATTTTTGGGACCGTGTTTAGGTTCATTTTTTGAAGTTTTTTGTATCAGGGTTGCAGAAGCGCAAAGTTTTGGTTTCAATGAAACTTTGTGGCTTATGGCGACCGGAAGGGCAACTGTTCCAAATCTATATGCTGGTTGCTTAAATAAATGCAGTTACAATTTTTGTTTGTTGCAAGGGTCGGCCTTTGCTGTGGATTTTGCGATTTTGCGGTCTCATTTTTGGTACCGCCTGACGGTCCCAAAAATGGGACCGTGAAAGTGCTTTTCTTTTGTTCTTTTACTAAGCTGTGCATGCGGTCCCAAAAATGGGACCGCCAGGCGGTCCCATTTTTGGGACCGTGTTTAGGTTCATTTTTTGAAGTTTTTTGTAGTATCAGGGTTGCAGAAGCGCAAAGTTTTGGTTTCAATGAAACATTGTGGCTTATGGCGACCGGAAG